CGCCTGGCGGCGGGGGAAGGGGCTCCACCGGTACCCCCCCCAGCCGAACCGGACCCGCTGGCGCCTCCCACACCGGCGGCCCGGTTCAGAGCCCCGGCGCAGACGCCCGCGGAGCTGCTCGCTAGTCCTCTGCGCTCGTTTTGGAAGGTGATCCGCTCGCCGGGCCTCCGTTCCAAGGCGCGCGGTGTGCCAGGCATCGCATCAACCAGGGCTGATGAATTACTGGGGATATTCGGGGAGGCAGCCATCGCGGAGCAGCAGCGAGTGCCGTCATGGCGAATTGCCGTCTGCCTTCATGAAGGGGAAATCATAGAGACAGTGCTGACAACTTAATTTAGCACCAGAGCCGGGGGGCGTCGCGTGACTGCGCTCTGTATAATTGATAACGCCGCCATTGCTGCCGTTGAGGGCCGGCGACCCTCCGGAGGGGAGGGCCAGGTCCCGGACCTCTGATCCCTCCTTCCCTGCCCTCCCTGTCGCCGCTGCTGCTGTGTGCGCGCCCCCGCTCCTGTTGGATGTCTTTAAAACTCAAGACAGCCCTTCCTGCAGCGCACGTCTAGAGCTGCGTGAGCCGGCCCCCCGTTCTCCGGAGTGTGGGTGTCGGGCGCGACCGGACTCGAGAGCGCTCGCAGGTAGAAGTTCACTGCAAGCACAGAAACCGCAGACGGAGCCGAGCCGCACGTCAGGAGTCCCTGGGTTATCGCGTCGCGGGGGTCTGCTCCCCACCTCTCCGTGATACCCCGCGGCCGGTCGGAGGAAAGGGTTTCCGCAGCGCGGGCCTCTCGCCGAGAGGGCGCTTGTGCCGGCCGTCTGTGACGCCGGCCCGGTTTCCCTTTGAGGTTAAAACGGGCGTCTGTGAGGAGAGAGAGCCGTCGCAGGACGTCTCCGGCACGTCTCGCCACATGCTGAGCGCGTGTTGCGGCGGTGGGCTTGGCGGTTAGTCAGCTCGGTGTCTGGTTTCGTCTCGGAGCAGCAGCACACAGTGTTCCCAGCAAGTTACCCTCATGCATTTGGATACACAGTGCGACTGTAAAGCCCCCTAAGCTAAGTCCGCTTTTTGGATCCGTTTATATTAAGCAGGTCCGCTGGTCGTGTCTTTCAGCATGTCGGAGATGAAGATGGAAGATATTTTGGCTAACCTCATGCTGGACGACCGCTTCGCGGGCAGAGGTAAATGGGACAAGGTAAGGGCCAGGAGATTCTGAAGAGGCCAGAATGCACAAACCAAACAAGATCCCCGGGGGGGGGCCTCTTGACAGAGCAGACGCACGGCTCGCAGACGCACGAGCCTCGGACATTTCGCGTTGCCCTGCTCTTTTCACTCACTGTCCCGTCTTTATGCCGGTAGACAATTCCGAGCCCGACTTCCGCTGAGATTTTAGGCATTTTGTTTCAAGGTGACGAGTTAATTCTGTTCTGCCGGACGGGACGTGGCCTATCAGTATGGGTGTGACTTGAGGGAGGGGTGACATTGCCGATACCCCTGACAATCCTGGCAGTCAGTCAGTTAGCTCTGACGACGGAGTGATGCAGCTCTTCCTGTTGATAGCTCACATATAGGGTTGCTGTGCTCGAGGTGCCTCCAGATTCTGCTCACTGTGATTTAAAGCTCACTTATCGACAGGCCCAACCCGAAGTAACCCGGATTGATAATAACATAAGAACCCGCTTACGGGGGCTTTGAGTGAACTGGGCGTGTGTGTTGTAGCCCCTCGCTGGCGAAGACCCTCGCCCTGCTGAATGTCTGGTGTCCCCTTCCGCCCCAGCGTTCCCGTCTCCTTCCCCTTTGTCCCGTTCCACGTGTGCCCGGTGTGGAGTTCGTGGGATTTTGTTGTTTTGAAGTCTATCGCGTGAATTAGACCATCGGGCACAAGGCGTTGTTTTGGGCTTTTTGTACACCCCTGTCCTGCGGCTGCGGGTTCGAAGACTAACCGAGGCTGCTTCGGCGGTCGCCCAAGATGTACGTCGGAGGGGCCCAGCGCTCTTGATCTGTGCTTAAGGCCTCCCAATAACAGCAGTAATCCCCCCCTTTTTCTCTCAGCAGTGAGCACACAGTCCAGAAAACCCCCCCAAGTGAAGCCCTCGACACTGTCGCTGAGCCTTAATCCTGCTTTAATTTCCTTTTCGAACCCGCGCCGGGAGCTGTCTCTAATTCCTTACACTTATTATATTGGAGCTGAGACGTGGATGTGCCCGAGTGTGGGGGGAGCTGGGAGGGGCTCTGTGTGAAAGTCAGAGGTGAAGGGTGTACAATTTGCATCTAGGACAGCACCGCCTGCTCTCTGTTTAGTTCATACTGGACTGGGATTTCTGACTTTTTAGAAAAAAGGGATAGATATCTTTATACGTACGTTATTTTTCCATATATATTTGAATACAGTGTCCGTATATATGTTCGTGTGTATGTATCATATTAAGTCTTAGTCACTCCTGTTCAATCCTGCATTGACAGACCTAATACCTTCTCATTCATTTTAAACAGTTTTTCCCCCTTTAAAGCAGGTTTCTTTATTAAAGTTAGTGCTCTGCCAATACACCGGAGGTAAGGGCAGAGTTCAGAATTCATTTTGCACTCATATTAAAAAAGAGAAAATAAAGTGATGCGGGGAATTTATACATTTTCATCTACATGTTAAAATTGTGAAAGGATTTAAATAACGCGCACAACTTGTATGTGTTTGTAAAGGGTGAGCGAGATTTAAAAAAAAACAATAGATCCAGCTCTCTGGAAAGATGCAGTTCTACAATATTAATATCGGCATATGGTCAAGGTTGCTACGCCTGAGTTTTTCTTTGATCACTTAATAAAGGTAAGGATTATAACATGCACTTCAGATTCAAAATATGTTTAAGTTGTGTATCGCACGACAGATTTATTTACCACTCTGTTTGCTCTGCCTGTGGTCTACACATGGGTTTCATCAGATTACATCATTAGTGTTAATTAAACTTGTTCCCAAGGTGTTGCCACTTAATACGTCAGACGCAGAAAAAATTATGTTCATTTTCATGCCATCTGTGACGTCCGTGTATTTGTTGTCATGTTAAAAGAGTTTGTAAAAAAAAATATGCAGAAAAAAACATCGAGCAGGAATCGCTACACTGAGGATATACTCTGTTTTCTGCAAGGTGCTTAATGACACGAACACGTGCTGCTCCTCGGTAGCCCGTCCAGTGGATCGGCGAGCCCTGGTGCTTGATCAGGGTGAGATGCAGCCTCAGCAGGTGTCCAGGCACTGCTGCAGTGGGGGTGTGAAAAGAGATGAGGCAGGGCAGGCTGTAATTGTTCAGGCACGCAGTGGCCTTTTCTGGGAGAGAAAGCCCTGTTTTTTTCTCCTCTTTATTTTCAGTAATATTGAAGGGATTAACCCAGTTGGCCCCTTGGTGGTTACTGTTTCATTTTATTCTTATTAAAATCTTAAGAACCTGCTTTATTATTCCACTCCGAACCCGCCTCAATAATTTGGTCTTCCGCGCCGACGTGGGCACATTGGGCGTGGGGCGCTTGTGAGCAGCTGCTCGTCCGCTCGTGTGTCTGTGGTTGGTTTTTTTTTTGGAATGCGCTATTTTTCTTCTCTCTGTTGT